AGGATGACCACCAGCCAGCAGCCGTGCAGGATGGCCGGGAAGTTCATCCGCTGCCCGATCACGTTCACGGTCATCAGTAAGCAGATCTGGGGTGGGGTGGGATGCAGAGGTTCAGCTCCGGGGTGCTGTGAGCAGTGGGGAATCCTCCCCCCGCCCCCTCAGCCTCCCTTGCCTCTGCATCACCCGGTTCCCCACCTCCAAGCCAAACTTGTAGTAGAAGTAGTTGAGGAAGTACTTGGCACAGCTGCCCAGGCTGTCGTCGAGGTGCTGACGGGAGATGTTCTCAAAGATGGTCTCAGTGACAGGGGCCACCAGCTGGTGCTGCCTGCGGTGGTACTGCTGGCGCCGGTACACCACCGCCTCGAACACCAGCACCAGCAGCACCAGGAGGTGTTTCTGAGGGTGAAAAGGATGCTCAGGACCATGGCAGGTTGCTGAGCATCCCTCAACGTGGTCCTCCCCCAAGGGGTGTCCTGGCACCTACATGGATGTAGCCCAGGTTGGAGTAGCCCTTGTGGATGCCAAACCAGTCAGCAGGGTCCACGGGGCCACGGTACAGCGTGGAGTTGACCAGTTCATTCGGGGTCAGGTTGGTGCTGTTGAGTTCGGGCTGCAAAGGGGAGCACCACCAAGCATCAGCACCCCTCACCCCTGCCACAAGACCCCAACTCCAGCTGAGGAACCCCAAAACCCAGGCATTTCACACAACACCTTCCCCCCCACCCCATGGTCACCCAGGTACCCGGGTGCAGTTGTTGGAGTATTTGCTGGGGTCAACAATCTTGAGCTGGTAGAGCATCTTGCAGACAATGATGATGCAGGTCCAGACGGTGGAGAGGCAAGAGGCCATGTGGCGGAAGCGGCAGTAGGGCATGGCAAAGGCCCACAGCAGCACCAGCAGGAAGTTCAGCACGGACACCTGAGGCAGAGGCCACGTCAGCACCCTGGGGTGCTCCACCAAGACCCCCACCCCAGCACCCCTAGGCTGATACCTCCTGCAGGGCCACCCAGACAGTGTAGACAGCCACCAGCTTGAGGACGTGGAGCTCCAACAGACGCCTCACAAAGACCTGCCCACGGGTCAGCATGTCTGAGAAGGTCCATCCCAGCACGATCAGGCGCTCCAGCACCAGCCCCCATTTGGTGGGCACTGTGGGGACATAGACTATCAGGGACATCCCTGCAGTTACCCCAGCTCAGGGGACACCCCAACCCATCCCTACACCTTCCCATGCCTGGAGGACACCCCAGTCCACCCCTCCACTCCCCCAGCCCCTTCCCTGGCTTGGAGGATGCGCCAACCCACCCCTGTACCCTCCCATACTTGAAGAACACCCCAAATCCATCTCCTTACCCTCCCAGACCTTCGCTATCTTGGAGGATGCCCCAACCCATCCCTGTAACCTCCCACATTTGAGGGACATCCCAGATCCATCTCCCTAGCCTCCCAGCCCCTTCCTGGCTTGGAGGACACATCCATCCCACCCCATCTCTTTCCAGTACCCTGTGAGGCAGTGTCAGAGTCAGTCCTGGTGCCCTCGGCCGCGGCTGCACCCCGCAGCAGCCGGCTCCCGTGCAGCTCCTCATGCCTGCGGGGAGGAGGAGGGCTCAGCATGGGGACCCAGGGGGGCTCGGGGTGCAAGGGTGGGTCACCTCAGCACGGGGTCCTACCTGGGGATGTGGCAACGTGGCGGGGTGGTGGCAGGGATGCGCTCCAGGTCAGTGAGTTGCATGAAAGGACGGTGGAAGAAATGGAGCTGGAGGATGCAGGCCAGGAGGAAAAAGCCTGGGATCAGGATGCTGGAGAAGAGCTCGGTGACGCTGTACTGCTCCAGGCCCAGGTCACCCAACCTGGGCAGGGAGGGGAAGGTCAGTGTGGGGCCACATCCGTCCCGCCCTGCATGAGCATTGAGCCACCATGCCAGCCTTGAACCCCAATTCATCCTCCCCTGCCTCAGTTTCCCCACGTGCAATACATCCCTTGGCCACCCCACCACGGGGCTGGCGGTGGCAGGGACCTTGTGGCAGGTCAGGGCCACTCACTGCTCATCGGTGAGACCAGTCAGGTTCTTCCAGTAGGCGGGGAAGTCCTCGAACTGGAAGGTGTAGATGGCGATGAGGACCATCATGGTGTAAGCCACCACCAGCCACCAGAAGCCCTTCAGCACCTTGCGCCACAGGCTGTAGTACAGCTGCAGGGACAGGGACATCAGAGCAGAGGGATAGAGATGGGGAGGGGTCCCCAGCCCCCTCCCTACCTTCCTCAGCCCCCCCTACCTGGAAGAGGGTGAGGCAGAGGAGGAAGAGGAACATGTAGACGATCTTGTAGAGGACCAGGCGCCCAGCGAAGCTGACCATGATGAACATGCCGGCGCAGACGCAGATCCAGTATTTGGCATAGAAATCCCTCACCAGCTCCATCAGGGCCTTCAGGATGTCCCGCTGCCGGCTGGGCTCTGCGGGGCAGGGAGGGGGCACGTGTGGGTCCCCACCTTCCTTGCTTGTCCCGCCAAGGGATGCTCAGCACCGGGGGGATGATGCCAGGAGCCCTCACCTAAATCCGAGACAGTCACCTCCAGCAGTGAGGTGGCCCGGCTCAACCTACTTAGCAGCTTCTCCTTAACGGACTGACGCAGCAGCAGGAAGAAGGTGAGGGTGAGGAGGAGCTGTGGGGACAGGAGGTTAGTGAGGACAACTGTATGAAGTTCAGCAAGGCCAGGTGCTGGGTTCTGCACTTTGGTCACAAACACCCCAGACAATGCTCCAGGCTTGGGGCAAAGCAGCTGTTGTTTTCCCAGCAGGAAAGGACCTGGGGGTGTCGGTCAACAGCGGCTGAACATGAGCCAGCATGAGTCCAGGTGGCCAAGAAGGCCACCAGCATCCTGGCTGATCCAGGTGGTTGGCAGGATCAGGACAGGGATCATCCCCCTGTGTTGGGCACTGGTGAGGGGACACCTCAAATCTTGGGGTCAGTTCTGGGCTCCTCACCACAAGAAGGACATGGAGGGGCTGGAGCGTGTCCAGAGAAGGGCAACAGAACTGGGGAAGGGGCTGGAGCACAAGTCTGAGGAGAAGCAGCTGAGGGAACTGAGGGTGTCCAGCCTGGAGACAAGGAGCTGAGGGGAGACCTGCTGGCTCTGCAGCTGCCTGAGAGGAGGCTGGAGCAGGGAGGGGTGGTGCTGAGGGACATGGGTCAGTGGTGGCCCTGGCAGTGCTGGGTTAATGGTTGGACTGGATGATCTTAAAGGTCTTTTCCAACCAAAACTATTCTGTGATTTTTATGACAACTGAGTGCCAGCGGGGGCAGGAACCAGGACAGTGGCCTTACCTGGGCCCCCAGGTCCACACAGGGATGGGAAGGATGGATCAGCCCCAGCTGACGGAGGCTCAG